TGGCTCTTGCTCTTTCTCAAATAAATAAATTAAAAATCTTAAAAAAAATATGATGATGGTTTCATGTCAAAACTCATGAAATTGGGTGCTTTAAATACATGCAGTTTGTTATATGTCAATTATACCTGAGAAAAAAAATTAAAGCAGAGACAGTTGGACTGGAAAGAAACCTCTTGTACATATTCACTTACGTGATTTTTGGTTTGTCTGTCTTTCCCACTAGCATGAAAACTCCATGGGGGCTGGGGCTGTACCTATTTGCACAAGCACATCTCTAGTGTTTACCATAGAATCTGGTGCATGGGGGCACCTGGGTAGCTCAGTCGTTTAAGTGTCTGCCTTCGGCTCAGGTCCTGATCCCAGGGCCCTGGGATGGAGCCCCACATCGGGCTCCTTGCTACACAGGAAGCCTGCTTCTCCCTCTCCCGCTCCCCCTGCTGTGTTCCCTCTCTTGCTGGTCTCTCTCTGTCAAATAAATAAATAAATAAATAAAATCTTTTAAAAAAAATGTTGCAAGCTATATTTTTAGGTATTTTTTTTCTCCTGCCAGTCTTCAGTAATAATTGCCCATAATACCGAGGTTGGAAAAAAGAAAACTCAATTTTCTTCATTCCTGTCTTTCAGGTGTCAATGGATATGCAAATGAGATCTGGGATGTGAGAGGCCTCCTCCTGAATCTTAAATAGTATATTAAGTACTCACACACACTTAGAAGTGATGGTGTGGATTTTAATGTGTTTCATTCCTGTGAGCTGCTTGTTCTCATAACCACTGGGCAGAACAAGGTCAGTGCATTTGAGATCAGAAGGAGGTATTGAGGCTGTAAAAGTAGCCAAGGAAAGGTGTGAGATACAGAAAAAATGACTTCAGGGAAGCCATGTTTATCTCTACTTGTTGGGAAACCACAGTGGTTCCCCTAAAGTTGAGTTTAGACCAAGGGCCTCAAGTCATTCCCAGCTTGCCCCCCTTCCTGTTCTCCTCTTCGTCCTTGCCCTAGGCTCAGGAACTCAGCCTGCTTTCTATCTCCTTAACTCTGCCACATTCTCCTCCTCAGCTTCTGGAATGTAGAACCTATTGCTATCTTCCTCCCTTCTCCCCCACCATCTTATACACCCCTAGCACTTCACGTCAGGTAGAACTGTCATTTTCTTTCAAAGCTTTTATTAAATTAACACACACACATCTTTACAAAATTACATTAACAGTACATGTCAATTTTACAATGAGAGGCTGTACAGCTTCATGATTAGGAGCATGGGTTTATACCCTTTAATCCCCTTCACCTATTTCCTACCCCCCACCCCTACCCCCCACCCCCCACCATGTTCCTTATGTTCTTTATTGTCAAATATGTCATTCCTGGCTAATTTCATATCTCCTACCAGGACAAAATATAGTAACACTAAATACAATGCCATGGCTCTTTGGAAAATTTTTATATTGAAACAATAAAGATAGTCTTGTCTCTGTAGTTCTTCTATACTATTTATTTACTCTTGGCTACATCATCATTCATGACACCACATCATTCATCATGTTGCCCCTGACTCTCTCAAAAATTATTACTGTGCTCTGTTGATGATGACCACAAATGGAAGTCTTACCCAGAGTATGCAGGAAATTTTGAACAACAATTTTTTTGTACAGTCACATTAACTTTTCATTCAGAGTTTTATGCCATAAACATAGAACAACCCCTCTTCCAAACATGTCTTCTCTTGTATTCTATAATCACAGCATTCCCAGACTGTGAACTCTTTCAGTATTGACCACATCCCTATCTTCCATATACTACCACCAACAGGAGTATATGTGGGGGACTCACAGGTACAGCAAGAGGAGTGATGCCATTTTTGCCTGTCTCATATAGCATGACTTAAGACTAACATGAGGAGGGCATTTTATCACCACATCATTCAGAAGCAAAAGAGGACATCAGTTGGAAAAGGCCTATTGGTACTGTGAAGTGATGGTCTCAGAAGCAATTCGAAATTACATTGGAGGAGAAAGGTGGGGCTACTCCCAGATGACTGCCTGATATGTGTCCCAGGGTGTTTGGGGGGAATGGAGTTACTGCCCTGGGTGCCAGTGGGGGAGTAGACAGTGGGGTTGTGGTATGCGATGATGTACAGGAGAAAAGATGCCTGCTGCCAGTCTACTGTCCACTGGTGCTATGGACCACCGGTAGCTCCACATTCAGAACACTGAAAAGAGAGGGTCAACACAGCGACCCATATACACGACTCAAGTCCAAGAGCTGGGGAAGCTCTGTTGGTAGCCCAGAGGCCCGAACTCATCTTCCATGTGACTACAAATAGGCTTATTAGCACCATCCTGGAGACAATTTCACCTGATTCCCCAAAAGGAATACTGTGCTGTCCAGAAAGAGTAGTTGGCTCATCAGGATACCCTCTTAAAATTGAGACCTGGTCTCAGGGCCTTGGGATGACCCCATAGACATGAGTTCCAGAGTTTCTCAGGCAACGTGGGATTGGAGAGTGCCATGAAGGAGAGAAACTGGGACAAGGGCTCATTCAGGGCCTGGTCTGGGCTCAGCTTTGATAGCCCTGCTGGCCCTGGCTGGTCCCAGGCACATAAAGGGACATCTAGAACATTTCCAGGAAGGCCCTCCAAAGCTGAGACCCTCTGAGGCACAGGATCCAGGGCAGGAGCCTGGGACTAGGATGTTATTATAAGGAAGTGATTGCTATGTGAGTTATGAGGATAAGTTTTAAAGAGAGTTTCCATCTAGCGCTCCTTGTCACTGGGACTTCTCACTCTGGAAGAGAAGAAGCCAGCTCTCATGCTATAAGAACGTTCAAGCAGCCCTAAGGAGGAGCCCACATGCAGAGGAGGAACTCAGGCCTCCAAGCTAACAGCTAGCACCTAATTGTCAGCTATATGAGTGAGCTACCTTGGAAGTAATTCCTCCAGCCCCAGTCAAGCCTTTGAATGACTGCAGCCCTTGCTGACATCTGACTGCAGCCTCATGAGAGACCCTGAGCCAGGAGGGAATGAATAATCTGTCACCAGTGAATAAGTAACCTATATTGGTCAATACCATACAGACCAAGCCCTTAGCAACTTATTCTTCTAGGCAGAGAATTCAACATTAGCCCGACAGAAGTTTTCTAGTTCCTTTTTTTGTAAGATTTTTTTTAAAGATTTTTATTTATTTATTGAGAGAGAGAGAGAATGGTAGAGAGAGAGCATGAGAGGGAGGAAGGTCAGAGGGAGATGCAGACTCCCCGCTAAGCAGGGAGCCCGCTGCGGGACTCGATCCCGGGACTCCAGGACCATGACCCGAGCTGAAGGCAGTCGCCTAACCAACTGAGCCACCCAGGCACCCAGTTTTCTTGTTCCTTAACTACAGCGCAGAATAGAACTGCTGCACTAGTACAAAGGTAAAAACCTCCGCAGCAACGACTGTGGATTGACCACCAGGAAGCGGATAGGCCCTGTTTCCAAGCACATTAGCCCAAGAAATGTGGCAGACATTAGTGTGGGGTGGGGAGAGAAACCCCAAGGAAGATAATAATACATTTTCACCCACTCTGATGGAATGAGTTTCAGAGTAAATATTAGGTTGTACTGTAGAAAGTAAAATTATATTTATTGCATACCTGAGTTTGGGTACTGAGAATCACACCCTGCACATTTGTATTCTTTACTGAAAGGATAACTGTTCTATCCTTCTAGAAGGACAGATTCTGATCTCATCTCCACTCATCCAATGCTTAATCTACGTTTCTTCCCTTACTTTGCCAGAACCTTTTCTTTCAGGGGCCTGTTTCCTCATCTATAAAATGAGAGGCAGGGGTGAATCTATATTCTTTGCAGTGTAAAAAACATAATTGTGGGGCTGTATTTAAGAAATAGAATATAAAATTATATAATAGTCAATATTTATTTAGAATGAGAAAAAGAAATCATTGCCTATTTTAAAATGCTGACAAAACGAAAACCATCACACGATCCAGAACAAACAAAACGAAACAAAAAAACATTTTTAACTACCTGGCAACCACTATAAACTCTTTTTTTCTACATTTTTTGCTGCATACTCTTTGCCTCTTCATATATCAATTTTGTACTATTTTTATAGAGATCTAGATAAATTAGTAAAAAAGTAATTTAAAACATTGATAGTATAGGAACTTTTTTTTTTTTTTTTTATCGACTTCACAACTCCTTACTCTAAGTTCTCGCACGGGTGGGGCTTCTTGCCCCGGACAAGCTCATGGGAAGCTCCAGCCCTTTGATTTCCCTTGATTTCGTTTCTTTCGGGGCTGCCTGGGCAGCTCTGCCAGGTCGCCGCCCTCGTTCCCTCTCCCATCCACCCCACTCCACAGGCAGAAGTGACTATGAAGTTCTCGCCTATCTCCACCAAGCAGGCAAGGTGATCCTGGAAGCCCGCCAGCCTCGCACGCTGCCCCAGGACCACCACTTGGGCTAGAGCGCGTCGGTGCTTCGGCTGCAGGACTGGGGCTGCTATGTCCTCCTCGAATTCCTGGACAATTCGCTGAGCCTTCAAAAGTGCTCGGAAGCCTAAGCCCCAATCGATTCAAGGTAGATTGCCCCCTGTGAGAGCCCTTTTTTACGTGTTATCTGAATCTCTTTCTCCTTTTAACATTCCATGGGAAGCCTAAAACTAGAATCCCGGGACTTTGCTGCGCTATCCCATCACGCATCGCGGGGCTCGGTGACATGCCAGGTATCTTGGGTGGGGTCTGTCCCTCTTCACTTTCTCCACTAGGGGCGACTTTAGACCGCGGTCCTACCTCACTATGGGGGAAGAGGCGGAGACCTTTTCTACGACGCCGGTTGGCGGCCAGAGTCTTGATCGATAAGGGCATTAACGAATGGCTCTGAAGTAAGCAGCCGTTGTTTACGCACGTAAAGCCAATGGGAAGGCAGAGGTCCGGCCAGGGGCCAATGAGGACCGGCCTTAAGCGGACCGCAGGGGCGGAGCTTCCCTCGAGGGGCAGACGCTTAGGGTAAAAAGTCTGGAGCGGACCCTGGGAGAGTCAGAAACACATCCGGTGTTAGAAGAGCTGCGTAGGCTCCTGGGAGGCTGGTAAGAAGGTACGTCTGAAGCCGGGACTGTAAACTGAGAGTGAGAAATGGAAATGGGGTTGGCAATTATTGTCTGAGCAAGAGTGGGAATAGTCTCGGTTTTCGGACAGACTGCACCTTCGGGGAATGGGGTCCTGCTCTGCGACGGGACTCGGAAAGCTGCGCGGGGAGGGGAGAAGCTCGGGAACTAGTACCACGCATGCGCAACCGTACCGGAGCGGGGGGAGGGGCTGGGGCGCGTCTGCTGCGTTTTGGGGGACGTCGAGGCTCCCGTTTTGCGCGCGAGTGTTGGTGAAGGGTCCTTTTTAGTTCCTCTTTCTTCTTCCTCCCACTTTGCGTTCCTTTTCTTTTTCATCCCGCCAAGAGTAGGCGCAGGGGCCCTTTGGCACAGCCTTGACTACTTAAATTCAGGCCACGTCCCCCACCCCTTCCTTCCGAGGCTAATGAAAGCGAAACCTCACCGGTTTGTGGTCACCCCTCCTTCACCCGACTGATTGTTTCTCTGCTGTGGGCCCTCTGGCTGGGCCCCTTCTGGGTGAGCAGCGAGGGCCAGGACTCGACAAAGGGCCTGGTCAGGCAGGCTGCCCTGTCACGGCCAGGCGGGTGATGTCACACTCCTCTGTGACACGCGAACCTCCTTAGTTACTTGAAGCCGAAAGCAGAGGCGGGAGGTGAAAAGATCCTTCCTGGTTTTCTAGCCCCGTTCTGGTCTGATTGATTACCTTTGGACAGGTGAGGTGGCCTTGGTTTTGCTTGGTCCTGAGCCTTGTGGGCGTCTTTCTCGAAGTCCGCGCGGGAAAGGCGTCGTTGGGCGGTTTTTTTTTTTTCTTGGACCTACTTGCTGGAGCTATGATAGTAAGTAGGCTTTGGTATTTTTGTGTATCTATTAAGTGCGGAATTGTTATTCAGTACCAGCCCAGACTGCATTGCCTACCCCACCAGACTTTCCTTGACCAAACAACAGTAACAGAAACCTCTCTGAACTTGAGACTGTTCTAGCAATAGTTAACTTGTGAATGTGTAACTCAGTAGAAGAGCTGACTGTGCCTGAAACACAAAGATTTTAAGGTTAAAAGTTAATGGCGAATAGACTTTTCTAGTTATTTATTAATACTTAGTTTTAGTTTATCTTTTGGTTGAATGTGTAGTTTAAGAATTCAGTTCAAGAGAGATTATTCACGTTGTATAACCAAGTTGTTATGGCTTCTACAAATACACTTATTTCTGTAGTTATTAGGTTTACTCTCTTTGGTGGCTTATTTCTCTTGTCTAATATTTTTTGTTCTGGCTTCAAGAATATGTTAATACTTAGATTTTCTCCCATTTTCTTCCAATAGGGACAGAGGGGTTAAATCCTTGGGAAACACTCTCTGTAATTTGTATTTTGAGTTTCCTTTTTCCATTATTCATCTTGTGGAAACATGGCTTAGTGAACCCTCTTTCTTCCCGTCTCTCCCTTCCCCACTGTTGAAGTGACTGAAGTCTTACTCTCCTAAGAATAGGAAAGGTAAAATTAATCCAGGTATTTAGTTAGCATTTTAATTTTTTTCCTGGTTATATAGTTCATGCTTATTGTAGAAGTGCTGAAAAATACAGAGAAGTATAATAGGAATCAGCATGTGTTAATACTTTTTTAAGTTTCTCTTGGCCTATGGCTGGAACTGTCTTAATGAAAACTTGCTTTTCCGGCGCCTGGGTGGCTCAGTTGGTTAAGCAACTGCCTTCGGCTCAGGTCATGATCCTGGAGTCCCGGGATCGAGTCCCACATCGGTCTCCCTGCTCAGCAGGGAGTCTGCTTCTCCCTCTGACCCTCCCCCCTCTCATGTGCTCTCTCTCAAATAAATAAATAAAATCTTTAAAAAAAAAACCCAAAACCTTGCTTTTCTACTGTAGGCTATAATAGTAGGAAGAGCACCAGGCATTAGAGGTCATAAGGCCCCTAATCTGGTTCTGGCTCTACTATTTAACTTTCTGGTGTTGGTCAGGTCAATACTAATGTCGTTTTAGCACTTTACAATGATTTCACACAGCTTTTCATTCTTCCTCCTTTTTTTTTTTAATTGAAGTATAGTTGGCACACAATGTTCCATTACTTCAAGTGTACAACATAGTGATTCAAGTGTATAGATTATGCTCACCACTAGTGTAGCTGCCATCTCACCATACAGCACTATTACAGTGTCACTGACTCTATTCCCCTGTGCTGTACTTTTTATCTGTGTCCCACAGATTTTTTTTGCCGGCGTTCAGTCATCTTGGTAGAACAGGTGTTATTTAATCATCCTTATCTTACAGATAAGGAAGCCTAGATGACCTTAGGTAAAATGATTTTCCCAAAGTTACATGGTAGAAAATGGCAGGATTTGTGACTCCAAAGCCAGTGCTCCTGCCACTATTAACGCTGCCTTTTTGAGCTTTCTTTTTAAAGTGAGATTAATCATTTTTGCCCTTTCTTTATGGATTGGTGTGAAGATCAAAGGAGATAATGTATATAAAAGCACTTTAAAGTTGTAAAGTTTTATATAAATGTATTATAGAAGGTACTACTGCTGGCCTGAAGTTTCATTTTATTTCATAAACTACCCAAGGGTATTAATTTCCTTTATTTCATAAACTACCCAAGGGTATTAATCTCCTTGGGAAAATACTGAATATTCTCTTGATGTTCTGTCTGCTAAATTTTCCTTTGCCACTTTGACTTGACTGTAGAAGCTGTTAGAAGTGTCTTCCACTTTACCCTGTTTTGTTCCCCCAGAGTTTTTTTTCTTTTTTTTTTAAGATTTATTTATTTGAGAGAGCGCGAGAGCGCACACACACAGAGGGAGAGGGAGAAACAGACTCCCCGCTGAGCAGGGAGCCTAATGTGGGACTCAATCCCAGGACCCTGAGATCATGACCTGAGCCGAAGGCAGACACTTAACAGACTGGGCCACCCAGGCGTCCCGCCCGCCCCCGCCCCCCGAGTTTCTAACCAAGCTTCACGAAGTAGCTTTTGTATTAAACACATTTTTGTTTTCCAAAGACAGTGTTCAAACCAAGGAGAGGAAAACTAGAGATTGGCTTTTTGGGCCACTGAGTTACTCCTCAGGGTAGGTTCCCCTTTGAGCCACCTGGGGAGTGTTGATTTGAGGTTGCAACACTCCTGATGAGATAATGGGGTCTGCATTTGCTCTGGGGACTCCTGGTTGTATGTAAATATGGGGGAACAGAAAGCTGAATCACATGCAAGCTCTGCTCTCACGGTGCTTACAGCCATCTATGCGAGAAGTTCCAACACAATTAACTGGAATCCAAAACACTTAAAAAGTTTGTCCTCATTTATGCCTGCTTTCATTTGGGCTAAATATGTTGTTATTGGGAAGGGATTACTGGTTTACACTGGAAACTGAGTATGTATTTAGGACATTGGGGCCTCTTTATGATTCAGTCTGTCAAACACTTGTGGTTACAGAGAGAGGTTCAGTAGTGTGAAAGTTCAGAAAATCATTTATTGAAGGCAGTAGGCATTCCATCTCCAGTTACTAGCTTGGTTCTGAAGCAACACCCTAGAGAGACCGGATCCGGTGTTAGCTAGCTAATCTCACTAGCCAGGAATTTGGGCCCAAGTTAAGGGAGGGGCTGGGACATCTAGGGTTCAAATCTAGGACCACCTGAGCCCAGCCCTGTCGAACAGTTCTTTGGACTTCCTCAAACCAAACTGACCTACCTTCTAGGGATGACAAAGCATCAAGCTAATGACCATTTACTTCATCAAATTCTCTACCACATTGGATTATCACTTAGTGGTTATTAGGCTGTCTCAAAACGCCTTGTGGCCCTGTGGGACAGGAGGTACAGTGTAAATGCGCCCAAGGAGAGGCCTGCCATTTGCACAAAAGTAATTTTAGCCGGTAATAAGGTTTATCAAATTCCTTTAAATTCCAGTTTATAATTTTCTTAGACTCTTCCCTCTTCTCCCAATTTAATTTTGTTCATGTGGGTAAATATTAAGTCTTCAGGATACAGTTAACTGGTTGAATAATATTTAAAGAATGAATTTACAGGGCATATGTAGATTAGACCTGCAGTAAGTGTTTTATAAAACTAGGGGAAAATAATGCATTGAGGACATGAGAGTAATGAGTATTTACACTGGTAAAAACGATGGCTAACATATGGAGCCAGTCTTATGTATGAAGCACTATTCTTTATTTTGGAGAGAGAGCATGCATGCATGAGAGAATAGGTGGGGGGAAGAGGGGCAGAGGCAGAGGGAGAGAGAAAATCTTAAGCAGGTTCCACACCTGGCACAGAGCCTGACACGGGGCTCGATCCCATGACCCTGAGATCATGACCTGAGCCCAAATCAAGAGTCAGATGCTTAACTAGCTGAGCCACCCAGGCGTTCCTGTATGAGGCACTATTCTAACCACTTTATTTGTATTATCTCACATAATCCTCAACCCTATGAAGTAGATATTATTATATATTACTATATACAAATGAGGAAACTAAAGCACAGTGAGGTTCAAGTGCCAGAAACTTGCTGTGTGTTACATAGCTAAGGCAGTTATCAGGATTCAAGTGCAGCAAGTCAAGCTCTTAACCACTATTCTAGATACATGGTTATACAGAGTCTGAAAGCTATTCAATAGGAAGAACTACTAAAAAAATACAATTCTGCTACCCGCCCCCCCCTCCAATTTTTTAACCACATGGGGTTTTTCTTCTCTCAAGTATCAGTTGGTTCCTTCTGGATATGTGGGAAGGGGACTCAGAATGGTTGAATTATGACAAGAATGAGGAACCATATAATTCACTACTAAATGTTTAATTAAATGTGTGAATAATGTTTCTTTGACTTGCTCTATTTTTAAAAATACTTATTTTAAGTAGGCTCCACACCCAGTGTGGGGCTTGAACTCATGACCCTGAGATCAAGAGTTGGATGCTGTACCAACTGAACCACCCAGGTGCCCCTGAATTGCTGGTTTTGTTGTTAAATTGTAAATATTAAGGCAGCCTTCTGC